TAAAAATATCTTAACACTTTATATGGAGAATTTGTATAGTATGTAACAAACGTTCCCGAAATTTGTTAGTTTAAAAATTCGAATATTATTGAAAGTTTAATAATTTTAATAGTTCAAAAAAGTTTATTCAATATATTGTGATAGGATAGAAAATAGTAAAAAGGAAAGCATGACACTTTGAAGCAAAATGCATTTATTAATCTACATATATCGTGTTATCAAATACTATTTCTAAAAAAACTTTTTTCATATGCACTGCCGTTCATTAGTATTAGGACATCCATTATGTTCGTACAATAAAGTATTACATGATAACAGACTGAACAATTTTTTGGGAAATTTTAATAATTTTAGGTTTGCTTCACATTCAGTAAGTGTTCTAAAAACGTTTGGCGTACACGGCACTCATCTCGAAAAGGTCCGTATTTCTCAGTAACAAAAACGATATTAAAAGATTTAAAGCTAATGCGTATAAGAGGGAACTTCATATTTTTATGCTAACGCAATCTCTCCCTCATTTGACCTCAAGTTTCGAAAATATCGCGTCCACGCTTTTGTGGAACAGACTGTATGCCCAAAAGATGTCTGAACGATGTCCAATGTCACAAGATATCTTTGATACTTATAAATGGGAGCGTAAGTGTTAATATTTTTTCGAAGCACTGAAAAGCCTAAATACATATGCCCAAAAGATGTCTGAACGATGTCCAATGTCACAAGATGTCTTTAAAACGTGGCGCTATGTGGTTTTAGAAACGTCATGAAAACATTTTAAAGACGTTATTTTTATATGTCGTTAGAACGTAACGGACATCTCTAAAACGTCATGTTTCTACCGGAGGTGGACGTCAAATGTAATGCTCGGTCCACGAACAGTTCGCAAACAGAATGCAAGCAGTTACAAACCTCTCCTTTGCAGGTTCTTTGATGAACCGCTGCTCACGAAATACTGCCAGCGAACATAATTCGCGAACTGCTCGCAAACCCCAGTGTAAACCCGGTATAAAAAGCGCAGTTAAAGTAACAACGACATCGAACCTCGTCTGTTTTAAAACTCTTTCGTCCTTGCGACTTTGGATTATCTGAATATCATTTCAAAGACATACGCTGAATTTGTTTCTTTTTTTCTATACTTTTATAGTACCAAAACAAAAATATAGCATTTCATTTAAAAAATAAGAGGTGACTTTACTTAGTATGACCCTTGAAAAATTGAAGGTAAAGATTTTTTGAAAAAATGACGATAAATGTCTCGTTAAATTTTTGTCCTATCACATACCATTTGGTATTAAGTTACAGTCAAGGACAGGAATATGTGGACACTACATAACGTGTAAAAAAATTTGGAAAAACTGCAATTAGTCGGAATCGCGAAGAAAATAGCAAAGGTCGTAATGAAAATTTAGAAAATACATTTTGTAGATCTATGTGAATTATATAAACTGCAATTAGTCGGAATCGCGAAGAAAATAGCAAAGGTCGTAATGAAAATTTAGAAAATACGTTTTGTAGATCTATGTGAATTATACACACGCTGAAAATTTCATCGATATCGGTGGATGGAGAAACAAGCGACAGGCATCGAAAGATGTAAGAATCTTCAGATTTATTACAGTTTATAGGTCGAAAGTGGTGAAATAGTGCGATTTTCACAATATTTAACCGTTTGTAGCTCATAGCAACATTAACCAATTTCGATGAAATTTTCAGCATGCGTATAATTCACATAGATCTACAAAACGTATGTTTTAAATTTTCATTACGAGCCCAGATTAAAAAAGTTGCAAACAGTGACCTTTACAATTTTCTTCGCCATTCCCACAAATTGTAATTTTTGCCAACTTTTTTGTACACGTCATCTAAGTAAACTAGTCCTTCTAACTTCTCATGAGAAAAACTTAAGTTGTTTGGCCGAATTTTAAAAAAGTTACTCTATTTTGAAGGGTTTCCACATATTTCTGTCCTTGACTGTATTATCAAACGGTACTTATCGTCAGGCACCCTCAATATCTGGGTACCTTCTTTGAATATCTCACCTGATTCGTCGTGTACTCGCAATTATAGCTCACTAAGGCGATCTTAACGCAATAGCTCAACACTTCTATGAGTAACACCGTTATCACGCTCAATTTGGACAGAAACGTTTCTGGTTTGTAGACCTCCGTGTACAAGTAGTAAAGGATGATAGTGATGTACGTCAACGTCATCGCTACGTACACTATTAATTGCCCGTTGAAAATCCGATTCACCATCTTCGACACTCCGCAAAGTTGCAGATGCACGAATCTTGAAAATTTTGCAAATAATCAAATCGGAGCTAATTTTTGTAAGAAGTGCAAATACTTTCGATTTACCTGATTTGTTGAAGTAAGTGGACCTTTTTAACGGATTGCGACTCGTGTTTTATATTCAGAGGATGACTCAAAGGGAGCACACGTGAACGATGAATAGAATGTTCAGACAACCATCTGTCCAAACGAAATCGTTTGTTCAAAACATTCGATTTTTCCACGACTGTGTCTTCCGTTTTTATCTGATGACCCTCCACGAGGAATGTTCTGAGAAGTTCGTTTGTCTGCTTGAACCTGTGTCCCAGCCAACTGTGACTCGCAGAAAGTGACAAAACTTTGGTTAAAACAGTGTTTTCGAGTGAAATGGGATTAAAGAAATTTTTCAAAAAAGGTAGTATTAGCCATAAGGCGCATTAGGCGCAAGCTGGTGCCTCACTCTCTGTGGGGTTACATTTTAAAATCTTGCTTCTCACAAACAACAATATAAAAAACAGCCTAGTTATGTTTGCAAAACAGAATACTTATTTTTAAATATTAAATTCATTTGCAGGAGAACGGAAAGGAAATTTACGAGGGTCCGCTATTCATCGAGAGGTCGACATCGACGGGAATTTCTACGGACCGATAATTTATTAGAACGAGTTATTATGGAAACTTAAAAATAAATGTGTATCAATTTGATTAACTGAAATAGACTTGTTGCGCCTAGGACCTCCAAAAGTATAAATGTTGCCCTGAGTATTAGCTTGGACAACCGTGAGAAACAATTCAATAAACAAAAGGAATAGAGGACCACATAACACCGAAAGAACTTCTATATCAAATAGACTTGTTGCGCCTAGGACCTCCAAAAGTATAAATGTTGCCCTGAGTATTAGCTTGGACGACCGCGAGAAACAATTCAATAAACAAAAGGAATAGAGGACCACATAACACCGAAAGAACTTCTATATCTCTGGCGAGCGGGCAAAAGAGTTAGTTTTTCAGAGAAGCACTTATCATATAGGTATGTATTACTATTAGAATCTCAGATAAAAAAGCGTGAAAGAAGTGAAATTGCCATTTTTTGTTTTGACTATAGATTGTTTACAGATAAAAAGACCAGATTAAGTTCTATCTATTGTTATCATCAACTTCATTTTTTTTCAAAAATGGACTTGCTCCACGTTCAAAATAAACGGCTCATATTTAAATTGTTAATCGAGGCCTTGTGGTCAGAACCGTGTCCAATCGTTGTTAAATTCCGAGGTTTCGCCAGCATTGCAGTTAGCTTAATCAGGGTATCGAGACTCACCGATAATGTTTTTGTATAGAATTGTGTGGAAATGATTTTGATTAAATACATTAGTTTTTGAAGAAACACTTTCATTAAAGAAAAAACAGGATATTTGGGGTATTTGAAAATCTAATGCCATAATTTTCATTCTTTCACTTTTACAAATGTAAGAACTTTCAAAATTTCCAGTCTGTTATTTTTACAATTGTACAAAATTTCAGAATCAAAGAAACACAATTTATTTCATCTTGTCAACTTTGAATTCCTATATCCTCAGATCTATAAACGAGACTTTAGCGGTTTCCTGGCTTTCAAGCAATGAAAATAAGAATTTTGAATTTCTAAATGTTATAGAAATTCAGCAAACGAACGTAGGGTTAAGTTAAGGGTGAAAATTGATCGAGAAGGGAATTGCAATAAAAATAAATGAAAATTTGTAACGAAGCATTTTCACACGTTTATGAATACACATATATTTACGTACTATACGTATATCTTGAAATCATAAAGAACAATTGACGCAACATTTGTTCCGTACACGTAGCTGAGAGTAGAACACAAGTGATACAGATACAGCGTTTGTCCAAACGATACTAGCCATTTTATATAGATCGTAGACAGTATGAATGCGCTCAGGAACCAGAATAATCCAACGAGCACTACGTGAATGTACAGCGAGCGATACTCGACCGCGCATCCCAGTTTTTGCAGGTTCTCGTCCACTTTGTCGATTTCCTTCATCAACATCACCGTATTCTGAACAAAAAAATAGAAAAAAAGGAAGCAATTTGTTGGAATAAATCTGGAAAGATTGAAATGAAATGTGGATAACAATTTTTTTTTTAATTTAACTCTTGATAAACCCACCGTTCAATTTGATTTAGTATTTTTATATTTTCACAAAGTTTCATTTACTACAAAGTTTCATTTCGACAACATTTTACTTAGTTACTACGTATTTCCATATTTTTGCAAAATTTCACTTAGTAATTTCACATTTTCATTCATGATTCAGCGAAAATATGGAAGACATATGAAAGTAAGGTTTTGTAAGAATTCTTATCGTTTAAGATTCCACCTTGCAAAATTTGAAAATTGACAAATTCCTCGAAATTAAAGAAATATACCAACATTAAGGGAAAAGAATAACAGTTAGTTGTGTCTGAAGTTATAGTAAAATGGGCACCACAGGCATAAATTTAAAATAGAAAAATATATAAAAAATTGATATAGAATTTAAAATAGTAAAATATTGAGTATCGGGTGTTCTTTATTCTTTGTACATATGTAAACAAAAGAAGAATGAATTATTTACCTTGGAATGGTAGAGACTTAGTATTGCCAAGATTAAAAATCCAATGATAAACACGTACTTCAGAAAAGTGATCATGGCGCGTTCACTGTTATATGGCATTTGATGCAGCATGTATGTGTCAAAATTGTATTTGGTATAAGTGTACAGACAGAGGATAAAAATATCGTACAGCCAGGAACACACAAATTTGAATTTATTCTTTCTCCAATCTTGAAAATTTCGCAGGGATGTTATTTGACTAATTCTAGTGATCACGTTGGTCGCTTCCTTATAGCTGTTTATCTTCTTCATTCTGTTCTTCGTTTATTTATACTATTAGAACGACGGAGAATTTTCCTTTCGGGAGAGAAATAATTTTCGCGAATACTTATATCGTAGGAATGTTTAGAAAATTTAACGATTTTTCTCAGACAATCTTTGTATATCTTTTCGACGAACTTCTTCTATTTTAAAATTCTCAACATTGATTACCTCTTCAATTTTCCACTCATCACACCTGTCCACTGCATGATCTTTTCACTTATATTCAACATTCAACTCACAAATGATCGTTGAAAAGAATAATAGTAAAAAGGAGAATTCAAAAATGGTTCACAAAGTGCACCGATATTTACTTTACAATTTTCACAATCAACATTCCTCTTACTTTGTATAATATTGCACAACTTTGCTATTATGTAATTTCCGATGTGATCACAATTCGAATTTTATTGAGATGAAATAAAAATTCGTTGGAGAGAACGGCGATATCGTCGCGTCTCGCTTCCTCGTTTCACTATGAGAACGTGGATGACGCTAGAATTCTGTGTACATTTGTGTAATTGCGAAAAAGAAATATCTTGTTGAGTGAAACGCGTTTAGAGAATGATAAGAAAGTTAATTCATTTGCGTTCACCACGGCGATTATTCTTATCGAATTGTACGCGGTGTTCCATATGATTGCGATCACTCTAGAAGATTGCTCGAAATTTGTTATTCAGTAAAGTGACAAAATATTAACGCCATGTACACTCTTCGATCACTATACAGGGTATCTAATTCAACCCTTGTGTAGGTAATCGTTGCTTCGAGCTTTGATATTTAAAATTGTTTGTATAAATTTTTATTTCGAAAACGTACACTACCGTGCATAAGTATTTGGACACTTCCATATTATTCGAAATGCTGGAAATATACTTTGAATAAAACTCTCTAATATAGTTTTGGCTTACGATCTTATCTCGGGCGACTATATAATGTTTATAAATACCAATGAAAATAACATTTGACATGAATTAGGATAGATGAAAAAGAAAAAACTGAAATTGGTTAAATTATAAAATCGGAAAAATTATTATCCCAATGTGTTGTGCCAACGGTCAAACATGGAGGTGGTAATGTAACGACTTGGGGATGTTTTGGTGCAAATAAAGTGGGCAATTTAGTAAAAATAGACGGTAATATTAATATTTATTGGTAAGTTTATTACCTTACCGTTTAGAACCTTTTAATTAGATCGCATCCAGTGTCCAAATACTTATGCACGGTAGTGTACATCGACGTGAAAATGTCCAAAACCGTTAAAATTACGTATAAAAATTTTCTCGCCCCTAGAGAAAACAATTAGGTCATCTGTCTTACGTGGCCCAACCTGCAGTATAGAGTGAGTTGTCCTAATATGGAATACGTGCCCAATATGAAATACCACGATATTAAAAAATCCTGGCTTTGCCATCCATAAGCAGTAAATACAATCGGTTGCGTTTCTTCTTTATTTCAACTAGTGAGCATATGCAGAGATTATAAAGAAGCACGTGTTTGCAAATGAATATTGAAGAGAAACCCACAATCCCAGTTTTTGCGTAGGAATTTTTAAACTGATATTATACATAACTCGTTAATACAATATTTCTGAAAACACAAGCAACAATGATTTTCCTAATATGGAATACCTAGAGGAGATCAATGTCGAATATTTCACATTAGAGACCATGTATGTTTAATTCCATTATGACTAACAATAAGTGAAACGTGTTTTCTGTTCCTTAGATGTCGTCTATCGTACAAGTTAGAAAGAAATAGAAAAAAGGAGGTATTTATAGAGAAATACAAGCGGTTGTAGATTAAAAAATTGGATTTTTGGATGTGCAGAAGACATATTCTGTTTTTAGAGGAATTTTGTTTCGTTTTATAAAAAAAATTAAAGGAGAACCCAAATCTTTCGATTGAAGCAATTGTAAACAATTCTTTGTAATTTCGTATAAAAAGTAACAAATTTTATATTTTTAAAATAAAGATAATTATCAGACAAGTTACTTACTTATTTATATCCTACTTCCCATCTTCAAAGGAGTAAATTCGATAAAATATGGTATTCGATATTAGGCGAAAAAAGTATCTCATATTAGGAGCACCATCAGCCAAATATGGGAAATGAGGATCTCAGTAAAAATAATAAATACTGTCTGAACCCTTATTATATTTTAAATTTGTCTATTACCAGTCTAAATAGCATAAAATTTCCTGCAAAACCATAATATTTAAGTTTATATAAAAGCATTGTAAATAGGTAAAATATGTGCATGAAGAAAAGTATTCCATATTAGGAGTTTTAGCAATTTTCACTCTTGTCGAACAATAATAGTGAAAAATTCGTTTCACACGAAATTTTCTTTCGATAGGAATTATTGAAAAAAATTGAGAAGGTGTTTCGAAATGAAAATGAATGAAAATACAAGTTAATATCAGAGTAATAGAGTGATACAAGGTGTTTCTCGTTTTGTCTCAGGTGTCGCGACGAAATCAATACTCGTATCGAACTCTAAAGTTCAATGTCTTCCAGTTCATGCTCTTTCGTCGACTTTGTTCGATATTTTTCATAAAAATTTTTGTACTAATTTGTCATTTTATTCGTCGTTTTATCTCACACTTTACTCCGTTTCTTTTTCTTGCGAATTTTACTATACGAAGAAAGTGAAATTTTAATTAAACTTCAATTATTTCAATGAATTTCTTCTTTTTTATTTTCAAAAAGAGAAGATTTTGGGATAATTTTTGTTTTCGTATAGAATCGAAAAAATTTCTTTTCAATTTAATAATATTATTGTAATCATTAAATAACGTATTAATATATCGTGCATTTTATTTTTCGAAAATTATTTCATTACGTTTTTTAACAACGAACCTTGTATTTTTCCTAAAAAGAAAGAAAAGGAAACTCGTTTTTCTAACACGTTTCAATTAAACCAAGGGAAAATTCTATAAAAATTCCATTTCCATTAGTCTTGTACTCGGAATGCCCCGAAATGGGAAGAAAAATGGAAAGAAAAAGCGAAATCGATGAGCCGTGAAGTTAGAACACGTATTGTCGAGTTCCTGGCTGAAAGTCTGTTCCATTCGATGATGGCCAGTAACTAGAGAGCTAGAATGTGAATTCGATTGCAGGACTATGAGACCAGAACGGTGGATTTGGGATACGTGGACCAGTGGGGCGCGTGGATCCCTCGGGGATCGAGCTAATCCACGGAACGAGATTGATTTAAGAGATTCTATTGGGCTTTCGGGCGATTTCGAATAGCCGCACTCGAGTATTGTTCAAATATTCACACTTGAAACAATTGACATGTGATAAAAATGATAGTATTTTAATTTATATTTTATAATTGAAACAATTAATTTTTTTCTAGCGAAAGGAAAGTTTGAAGGGAAATACAGCCGTGGGGGAACATGTGGAGAGAATTTAGAATCGAACGTATAGTTATTTCTATTGTATTGAAAATATTAGAAATAATATTAAATAAAAGTATATGGCTGCTATTTATTGGATCAGTGTTGAAAAAAAATTTTAATCGATATTTTAAATAAATGGTCAGTATTTAAAATAAAACATCAGTACCTCGTGTAAGCGGTCAGTATTACATCGATTAATACAAAAACTGTCAGTATTTTCATGAAAATATTAGTAAACATAATAATTTGTCAGTATTTTAAATAGATGGTCAGTGTGTATAATAAAATATCCCAATCTAACTCAACGTAACCAAAAATTTTAATTTTATTGACCAAAAAACGAATTAATACTGACAAATAATTATTTACACCGACCAAAATATTTATTTTTACTGACTATTTATTTAAAAAAAATACTGACCAAATAAATGAAAGTGAAAATATATTAGAAAATATAATAATTTAGGTAGTTGTTATTGTTGAGACTTAAGTATTCCGACGTTTCACAAGCATTACAGCTCACTTCATCGGGGTTCGAATGACACGCCGATAGTGACACACTGTGAGCTCCTTTGAATAGTTTTTCCATAAGGACACGGCTTACGCCCGGAAGCTTCAACAACAATAACTGCGCAATACTGAGCTGCAAAAGCCTCAAATTTTTGATAATAATTTAAGTTAAGAAACTAATTAGAGTAGTAACCTAATTAGATGTTGTACAAGTAATCCGTGTGTAAAGGGTTAAAAGATTGCCAGAGGAGAATAAATATACCGGGTGAACCGCGTAACGTGATCACTTTAAATTATTCTTTCTTCGAAAGATTTGCATTTATCTACAAAAAAAACTGCAGGTGACCTTGAAAATTCCGAAGGAAAGAGACAACTGATAAAAATTATAGTACCATATGAAAAAAAAAATTTCGATCAGTCCACAGATAACGAAATAATTTAAGGTGATCACGTTCACCTGGTTCACCTTGTGTAACACAAATTATTGTGGAAATTTCTTATTTCCTGTAGTCCCATTATTATACTTAAAAAGAGCAACGAAAAGACACAAAGGTAGTAATTTTACATTAACAAGGAAGACGAGAAATTTCATTTTGTAATAAATGAATACATTGAAATGTTAATATTAAAAACGAAGTTATGTTAATTCGATCAAAGTATCTACAAAAGATTGGATTACGCGCATCCATAAAATATGAAGAAAGTTAAAAAGTGAGATGATTAAGATGGTTTGATTCAGTTGCTATGCCGGATGGCACGCAATTAGGCTCTGCAAAAATATAGAATGATTCCTGGCCGTTTCAGGCCTCGAGGACGTGGTTCAAGTAAGCGATGTAGCAGATGGCCAGCCGAAGGATCTCGATTTTCGAGAGCTTCTTGTCTGGTGGCAAGGTTGGCAGCAGCTTTCGAAGCTCCGCGAATGCTAGGTTGAAAGCTTCCACTCTAACTCTTTCTCTGTGAACAATAAACAATCAATGCTTGAAGTAGTCATTCTTGGAGAAAAAAAGATGTGGAAGTACTATTCGTTAAAGTGAAAGTTTTAACTCAGTTTTTTAGGAGAAACTAAAACTACTCTGTGAATTGAAAGCTTTAGGTGATTTTAAAGAAGTTCCTCAACTAATTGTAAGCACAGATTGTTAATATTGTATAATAGTGTATAAAGCAAATAAGAAGAATAAAAATAGAAGGTACGAAATGATTAATATTAAACGACGAAAAATATCATTATCGAAGTGTTGATAGTTCAATACGTTAATTTTTCTATGGAAATTATTGAAAATATTGGAAATATTATTTACCGTTATTTTTAATATCAGTCTTGATATAATATTCAGAAAATTGTCAAGAAATTTATACTTCACTTTTCTTAATAGCTCAATACGTTAATTTTTTCTATACAGGTTCTGTCAAAATTTATACCATTTCTGTGGAAATTTGTTTGAAAAATATTAGCCTTAATACTCAGAAAATTGTCAAAGAATTTGTACTTCACTTTTTTCAATAGCTCAATACCGTAATTTTTCTCTACATAGGTTTTTCTCAAAATTTACACGATTTCAGTGGAAAGTTAAGAAAATATTAGTCTTGGTACTTGGAAAATTGTCAAATGATGAAAAATGTAAGGATCAAAGTGGTCTTTTATCAATTTTACCTTGTGGCGTGCGCAGTTCGATACTTTTGCGTCGCTCTCCTGCGTCTTCGTCTTTCCTCTCTCGAAAGAGTGCCGACACCATGTGCACCAACCCCGTTCACGACCACCCCGTGTCCACCGTTCGCCATTTTCTTTTCGATCGATAGGAATTCGCGAGATTAAATGCTGATTCCTTTTCTTCTTCAACGAACAGTTCCCTCAATTCCCTCGCGAATAAAAATCCAAATGATAAAAACAGGAAGTTGATAGTGGAGCGTCCATTTTCACACTTCGTCTCTGTAATTCAATATTGAACACGATTAATAAATAACCAAGCAAATTGTCTCTACATTTCTATTAAACGAAAAATTTTTCGAATCTCAAGGGAACGTAGAAATTCAGAGTAAAAGGGTCCTCCTGGGGAATAAAAGGAAAAGGTAATAAGTTGACCAAATATTTACTATACAGATATTCTGCACGTGTGTGACAGCAAGTTAGGGTGAAGAGAAAGGGTTAATTCTCGCGAGTATCCTTAAGGTACCACGTTTCGTGAAATTTTCCCTCTGCAAGTTCTTACATTAATAACAAAGTTATAGAAATAATTAAAAATAGAGATAGACGATGCAACGAATAAAATGGAAATAAAAGAAAATGTTAAGAGAAAGGGTTAATTCTCGTGGGTATCTTTAAGTTATCGCGTTTCGTGGAATTATTATATTTAATGGCAAAGTTATAGAAGTAATGAAAAATGGAGATAGTCAGTTGGACGAATGAAAGGAAATGGAAGAAAATATCGAGGACGAATAAATCGGCGAAGCGAAGGGTAAACTGGAGGATATTAAAGAAGGAATAGTTGCAAAGCTCATGGGGCTCTTAAATTCCTTGCAATTCGACGGAAACCGACGAAAGGTGGCATTCTATTATTCAGAAAAACTTGCCATCCCTGTTCAATTATTAACAGTGAACAACCCTCGGTCTCGTTCGATCTGATTCTTATGGTAAACCAGCAATTCGTATGGACATCTTCTCGCGGTTCCTTTAATATTTCAAAAAATCAACCAGATTTCGGTGTCGTTTCAGTTTTATTGCTCCGCTATTCCCTCGACTTTTACATTTTCAACGCGATCGAATATTTAAATTGCAGTTCTTTCAGCTGAACGAAATACGAGGGTAGGTTTTCTATATCTGCTTTTCCTCTTTATTTCAAACTGTTCGAAACTATGGTACGTGAAATATGTGGAAAATTTGGAAGGAGAATAGTTGAAAGAACTTACTAAAGAATCACTGTACAATTTTCGTACGCTTCTTCGAAGAATCTTCAAGTTTTTTGTGACGATTCATTATCTCTTTCTTCGTCAATTTTGTTCAGTTTCATAGGTCGGCGTTCTGTTTCTGCAAAAATGTGTCACTCTTCCTTTATTGTATATTTATTAAGATCGTAGTAAGACATTTTTCACCCTTTTCTCGTTCTTGCAACTGAAGTTTCCTTTTACTTGACAAATCACTAAAGTCATTGTCAAATATACCTTGACTGATTTTTAAATTAACTCTAAAAGACCTTGATACGATCTAAAATATTCTTAAATAGCTGTCGAATGACCTTAAGTAACAGTCAAACAACTTTAACGACTATATTCTGACAAACATCTTCCATCCCTTATTGTTCTTACAACTTCACCGAATTTCTTTTTTTTTTGGAGAAATCATTAAAATTCCAGTGAAAAATATCATTACTCAAAAATTACAGAGTGGCTGATAAGTCGTTAATAATTGAATTCAATTTTATAATTGCTCATAATTATATAAAATATGATGACAAATGAATTCAATTTTAAAATGGAAAATATTATGGCAAATGAATACAATTTTTAAATGATAAAAGGACTTAACGACCAACCTGTAGTTTTTGAATGATGATGTATTTGACAGTAATTTTAACAATTTCATCGATTCATTTGAACGATTAATAGGATTTTCAAATGGTAAATATTATAGCGAATTGAATTGAATTTTTAATTGGGAAAATAACTTTATAGAGCATCCTGTAAGTTTGAATGACGATATATTTTTCAGTAATTTGAATGATTTCAATGATTCATTTCAAATCGAATTCAATTTTTAAACGGGCCACCCTGTCCACATCGATACCTTCACACTCTTTACGATACCGCGAAAGAACCCAATTATTATCGACAAGATATCATAAGGAAATATTTATCGCACTTTAAACACATCACATTGTCATCTTCACTCCCAATTATTTCCATCAACTTCACTAATACAATCCTTTCTTCTACAAATGTACCTTTAAAAAAAATCTCCTTCACTCGGTGAACCAGTTGAGGACAATCACTGCACGAGATCAACGACGTCTCTGATAAGATCCCTTCGCCTCGTGGGTAGGATGCGTCGCTGGTGGAGCAGGTTCAAGGATCATCTCTCGGTTCCTGAAACCACGCCTCTGAGACGCATCCTTTCGTCCTTTAGCCTTCGTTTCGCGTTCGCCAGTCTCTCTCGTGCAGCATCTCCCTGGTTCTCCAATGAAATCGCGGGAAACGGGGGGGGTGAGACCGCCCTAAACTGGCCGCCATTGCGTTTCCGCTCCTCGTGGATGAGAGGACGCGAATGGGTGGACCATTTTATCGATCATGCGAGTTGCTCGTGGGTAGGATGCGTCGCTGGTGGAGCAGGTTCAAGGATCATCTCTCGGTTCCTGAAACCACGCCTCTGAGACGCATCCTTTCGTCCTTTAGCCTTCGTTTCGCGTTCGCCAGTCTCTCTCGTGCAGCATCTCCCTGGTTCTCCAATGAAATCGCGGGAAACGGGGGGGTGAGACCGCCCTAAACTGGCCGCCATTGCGTTTCCGCTCCTCGTAGATGAGAGGACGCGAATGGGTGGACCATTTTATCGATCATGCGAGTTGAGCTACTCTTGCATGCTGGAAGAGGAAATTTGGCATAGTGGAATATTTGGTAAACTGAAGGGTTTCAAAAAACATAACGTTTCAAGTAGCAAAGAGTATAATTTTCAGGAGAAACGAGAAACGAACAGATTTGTTGTAATACCGGATGTTCTAGTTTTTCCGATCAAACTTTGTCAGTGTGTTCCATGAGCATAAGGAAGAAGAAAATGTGATATAAACATGGGTCGTTTGAAGATTTATTGAAAATTTATAACAATAATACGATATACGAAGGGAATTATAACGGGTGTGCTGTTAGTATGATATAAAATAGGAGTAAATCAGCGATATGTGCAAGGTGTGTTTACGAATTGAGGTCGCTGAAGTTGTTAAATGTAACTTTTGCCAGTGTCGTCCCTGTCTCGTATCATAGTATTTCGTATTTTTATTGGAACTTTTTAGTAAAGCTTCAAACGATCTACGTTTATATAACATTTTTCTCTTACATATACCCATAAAATATACTGGCAAAGTTTGATCGGAAAGAACTGGGACACCCTGTATATATGTATAACTGTCGTGCAATTATTGTTCAGAAAGCTGGTGTATAGGTACAAATGAATTGTGGATATATTTTCAGTGTTTATTGGTACAAAATAATTTTTATTTAGAAAATTTTCTTTTCTCCTTGTGGAGATCCTAGGATTGCAACAATTATGTACAATGGTATTTACAACGTTGAATTGAACCCTTCAATTATTTTCGGCTACTATTTTTAAAAGGAGAGAAGTGAAAAATTTCGTAATTGTTTGTCGTTGTAGAAGAATCGTAGAATAAAGATTGTGCTATGTGCAGGTAATAGAAGTGAACAGGATTCTGTGGATTTGTGTTAGGGTTTTTGAGAAATTGTTAATTTTTCTGGAAATAAGTAGTGCACGTGCTAAAATTATGCAATAAAATAAGTGAAGCATCAACCGAGGATTGCATTAAGTTTCTCATTGTATAATTCACTCCTGAATCCTTAAATTTTCATTGCTAAACTAATAATTGCAAGTTTATTAATGCACTCAGGATCGTTGTTCTTATATTCTGCTTTAGAATAAAAAAATGCCTATTAATCCTTGGAAATATGAGCATAAATAAAAATACAGATAGGCAAAATCTAAATATTGTCGAATATTTGCAATATCGACCTCCCACTGATTGTGACTATTACTCGTTGTTACTTACTAAACACGAAAATTCATATCCCTGGCCTTTAAATTGTTCACATTCCATCAACGAAAGCTTCAAAATAAACAGTAAATCAATTTCAAAGTTTGATGTCTCCATACTATATAAAAGCTCGAAATACTATAGTTACGCATAAATTATTCGGACATTCAATCACGAAAGATTGATTTCTCCATGCAAGAGCTGGAAACACTATAATTATACATAAATTTCTCGGACAAATTGCAAGGGATGGTCTTCAAAGGGTAAAATACCGCTCGAAATAATCAGATTCGTGCGATGATGTAATGTGCACGTTATGCAACACGTGTCACAGATTACATTCTTGTAATGGGAGGCTAGATGAGGCGAACCGCACTCTAATCGACTGATTCTCGATTAATGTTTCTTCTGGTTGCTGGTGTCATGAGATAGTTCACGCTTCGTTGTTCTACCCCTAACTTTTCGACGCCTTTTCTCACCCCTTCGTGGCACGTGACTCGTGCCACGCGACTTTTCAGAAGAATTGCTTGCAAAAAAGGGGCGTCCCCAAACTACCACGTCGATTTCTTCCTTATATTGTACAGGGAGTCTTTTTTAACTCTTGTGCAGGCAACCAAAATGTTCGCGGTTGTTTCAAGCTTAAATGTTTCAAATTGTTTGCATAAAGTTTCATTTTGGAAACGTGTATACCTTCACAAGAACGTGAAAAATTAGAGGAAAATATAGAAATGGGTACCCGGATGCATGCCTCGATCTTCAAATATTCGTTTTTTTCTTTACGTATTTTGAAAGGTACATATCGCAGAAATACTTTAAGTAGAAAGTGAACTCGAAATTTGAATTATCGACGAAGTCACAGCCGTTCGAACGAAACGGGTTGTGCTGCACCTAACCTAACCTAAAATTTTAAACGTGCTTTTCTCGAAACAGCAGTTTCCAAGACGGTAGGCATGATAACCGCCTCACCGTTCGTCCGATTAACTTCACATTTTACACACATGTTTTAAATAAGATTCGCTATTGGCTCACGGGGGCATTTTCTAAATAAACTGAACCACTGTTGAATAAGAAAAGAAAATGTACGGTTTTTTATATAGGAAATCACGACCATTTTCTTCAAACTGCTGTCATTGCCGCAATTTTTTTCTTTCTAAAGAACTTCCTCGTGAGCCGAGAACTACGACCCCAAAAAGTGTTAAAAAGTCGAAATTTTGACTTTGAAATCACCTCTACAATTTTACCGCATAGTCTGCACCACATAATGTTCCCCACTAAAACTTTTGTAAGAACATTTTTTCGACAGTTTTAGAGTTCCTTCTGAGATATTCCACCGTGTCCAGTTTAAAAAGACACCCTGTAGAAGCGGTTTATTTATTTCTATGAATTTTCGTGGCGTATAAAATGGAAATGACGAAAGTTCCAAGATGGATGAATGTAAAAATGGATATAAAATTTCAAGGATGTTGGAGAATGTGGTTTAGTTCGGCAAGTAAGTACCTTTCGTTTAATTCTTCACTGAAGTTTCAATTATTTTGAACGAAAATTAAGCGGCAATCAAGGGGAAGTAAAAGTAATTGAATATAACACTTGAAATTGAAAGTAGAGATATCGAGAAAGAGATTTTTTATGAAAATAAGAATTACGTCTGTTTCACGAGGAATTTTTTATTAATTTATGCTAATCTGTGAACGTGCTATGGATTGGAGAATTGTGAACACGAGGGAGCAGCACGAACAAGGTGACATCAGGAGCAAAGGGATCAATAATTCAGTGTCTGCTGGTATACGAGGACTCCTTATCGGTTGGAAGGACCATCGATTATGAGGAAAACATTGTGAGTAGAATAATGTATACTATACTATCGATAAGACTGAACATTGCAACAAAATTAATAAGTATAAAGCTTTGTAAAAAAAATTCATCAGAAGGAAAAGAAAAAAAAACCGGAAGATACCAGGTTCAAGTGAAATGTTTCTCATCTGCAAAGTTCACGGTTTTATTAGAGAATTCAATGTAGAATAATTCTAATCCACCAACGATTGAAAAAGAAAGTAAGATACATAGAAAAGCTAAAATGGTCATTGAATACAATCATTTAATAAGTACAAATTCCAAGTTATAAATTTTTATCTCAATAGATGTAAGATCCTCTTTTAAACTTTCCATTCAGACATTATTTCTGGTGCATCTGGTGAAAAATCGTTCGACCTTCTCACCACCTACAACACGAACCAGGGCCGCATTTACCACAAGGCGCAAGCTGGGGCCTCACTCTCTATGGGGCCACATTTTAAAACCTTACTCCTCGCAAACAACAATACGAAAAACAGCCTAGGTATAGTTGCAAACTAAAATACGTATTTTTAAATATTAAATTCATATTTTAAAAACAGTAGGCCGGTGAAAAAGGAAACCAAATTTGCGAGGGTCCGCTGTGCATCAGGATGTCGACATCGACGGGAATTTCTATGTCGACTTTTACTTTCAATCGACTTAAAAATAAATGTGTGTGAATTTGATTGACTGAAATAAACTTGTTCTGTTTGACGTAATGACGTTGTGCTTAGGGCCTCTAAAAGTATAAATGCGGCCCTGACACGAACAAATTCCTCATAGTGATACCATAGTTGATGTGATCGTGATCGTTCGATCAATCTTATTTACGATTCGTCTTTCTTCTTCTCGATTTTCTGCACAAAGACACGTTGATGTCCGCGTTCTTCGACCACCTTATTCTCCAAGCTCGTTTTATCTCCGTTCTGACCTCGATGTTCAGCAGACAGTAAAGAAGAGCCACGAAGGTACCCTGAGGAAAAAATGATTTGACTCTGTAAGTTACGAAATTTTTCATTCTGATTAGTCCAGAATAATTGAAATACTTGGAAAGAGGCGAAGAATTGGTCGTAGAAGAGCCATATCAGCTCTACACGATGATCTTTGTGATAAGAGAGGCCTAGAAATATGGTATAGTGAGCTCCGAATAATGGTACCAGCACCAAAGTAGATCTGGCCCACCTACTGCATGAAAAGATTTAATTTAATATTTTAAAATATTCATAGATATAAAATCATTTCAAGCAGAGATTCGATAAAAGTTCAATTCGAATTTTGTGGTTCAATATCGACAACTAATGGATAACAAAGAAGCACAAATTTCTTAATTTACCTGTACTGCATTTTCTTCCGTTGTAAATGCACCGACGTCTTGAATTTGACGAATAGAACGCGTACTATGTTGAGGAACAGCAGGAAGTTGAACTGAGACATTTTTATTTATTACTGGGCAATGTAGAACGAGGGAATTTTGAAATTAGAATCGACGAATGAAGCAATGTGGAGAAACACTCACCAAGGTTGATGTCATTATGGGAATTCGTATAAGCAGAAAGACGGAAGGATTGCCGTGAGTGGTCCAGCATAGTGTATCCTCTATGGTGGCTCGAATTATTATCCATGGAGCAACCACGAAGACCGGTAATCCTTAATTATAGACAGAAAAATTGCAGATCTTCTCTCTTTTGTAAAATATGCAACTTGGAATAATCTCGAGTAACTTTTAAATGATCTTGATGTGGCTTAAAATGTCGTTAAAAAATTAGTCGTTGAATAACTTCAGATAACTTGGAGTGATAAACGACCTCTGAAAGATCTTCGTATCGTGCAAGATAATCTTGAACAGTTTCCAAATGACCTCCAATTAACCCCCTCTAGGCTAATGATTCCATTCGTCATCATGTACTACTTTTGCATTTATATACCTACTGTGTTTCTGTTCAGAGATGTCATTTGACATCATTTTTTAGTAAGATGAACATTTTTACAAGTGGCCACACAGTTACATTTGGTGAATTTAACTATTTTGAAATTATGTTGGCAATACAGTGTTTTCCCCTTTTTGAAGAATTTAGTCAAGTTGGGCTGGAAAGTGTTAAACAAACTTAACGACAATATTTTCCCACAATCTTACCCCAGCCCATCAAGATGTACAAATTAATGGCAGCGCTGTCAGCACAAAACGCCAAGACGACCAGATTATGCAAATACAATCCTTCCATCAGGATCCAAGAATAATTCGCCACGATGAAATATTGCCAGACACTGGTGATGGCCTTGCAGATCACCATCTGGAACTGGTCACTTCAATTATACACCATTTCCCATAAATTGCTCCCTTTTCTTCTTTTTCTACACATTGAACATTTGACATGCCTACGTTTCGTTGCTTGATAAAAGCGTTCTTCTCGTCCACGGCTAATCCGATACCATTCATAAAGATCCAGTCCCTGAGAAGTGCCATAAACGCTCTCATGATGAAAGAAGCGAACAGGTGCATATGCAGCCTGTTTCTTGGATTTCGGAGCTTTCTAAACAAGGGAGAATAAATTGTTTCAACTGTAAGAACGAAGAGTTTACGAGGATAATAATTTGTGAAACAAAGTACTACCTGAGCAGAGAAAAAATGATCATCGCGATGACTAACATGGTGAAAGACGTAGCGTAACCGATTTGAGAGACGATCCTGACGATGGGTAACCATTTCTGACAAAAAAATTTTGTCAAATTTATCAGAATACTCCAAATAAGTAATTATTAGGTTGGTAAGAAATTAATGTCGGTTTTTAAACTTCATCTTTAAATCCACAGATCTCGACTTAGAATAAACTTTTTTAGCCAAAATAAGATCCATCGCAATCACCACATTTTTGTCAACAAGAAATGAGCTTTTTAATTCCAATAGCGTAAATTGCTGGTGTTCTAGAATTGATGAATTCTTTGAATGCATTCTCAGCAGCAGCTTGGTTGGCGAAGATCTTCTCTTACAAATAGTGGTCGGGGTGTTTGAAAAAGTGGTAGTCGATTAGCGATAGGTCCAGGGAATATGCTGGATGAGGCAGAGTTTCATAGCTCAATTCGTTCAACTTTTGTAGCGTTAATTGTGCGATGAAAAGAATTGCGCCCTTACAATTGGCCAATGTTGGCTTTAATCGTTGCAATTTTTTATGCATGCGCGTCCATTCGCGGCATCTTGTTCAAATGCATCGTTAATATTCCGAGTCGTTTCCGCAATTTTATGACCTAGTTTATACTCATATAAGGAAAATAATAAAATTTGCTTCCTATTCATCCTGAAGTGAATAGTCCTGAAGTGAACACAAATTAACAGTGAAAACAAAAGCATACCTACCAGCGTGTAGAGCAACATCAGCACTATAAAATGATATTATAACATAAATAGAAGAAGTAATTGTTATCTCAAAACTAAGTGTCAAAGTTTGAAAACTCCAAAACCGACGTTAATTTCTTACCAACCTAATATATTAAATATTCAATTGTATTAGGTAACTGTGCTACAATGGAAACAACTAGGGTAACAAAACCGAGTGTTTCAAAATTGTTGAAAAATTCCGTTTCCCTTGGTAAACAGAGTGTCCCGTAACTGGTGGTACAAGCAAGCAGGGGTGATTCTACGCGAAAAACTGAATCAAAAATATAGAATAACATTTTTTCATGGTAAGCTTTGTTTCCGAGAAAATTGAATTTAAAGATTCGCTACAAATTGCTGCTTCTGCTCATACTTCTACGTTGACAAACAGTGGTAATGTCACATTTCGCAGAGGATAGTGTAAATCTGCAGCTAAAAGGAAGAATCGTACAGGCTTTTACACAATTACAGTGTCAAAATATCGTATTATCAGTTCATGACTCTCCAATTCAAAGAGCAAGGGTTTGTATGGGTTAACAGACGTTACTTTCAACAATTCGCTTAGTAATGTGAACTTAAATTAAGGAAATCGTTAATAATACTTTTAAGGAAATAATTATCAATACTTTTCATGAAATTAGTATCGTTTATTGGTACAAACGTAAAGCCGAGAGCACGCGTACTCGACAAATTTTCAAACATATTTTTCTCGAAAACAAAGCTTCTTATGAAAAAGTTTTATTCTACATTTTCGATTCAGTTTTTCATATAGAATCACCCTCTGCTCGCTTGTACCACCAGTTACGGGACACTCTATGTATTTTTTAAAATCTCCTTTCTGATAATCCCTTCTGATTAAAATGTTTTTCCCTCTGACCTTTTGTCGGCAGAAGAAATGTTATTTGGTACACGGTTTTGCCCCATTCTTTCCTATATTAAATAATTAACTGTATAGGGTGTCTTACTTATAACGAACAACCAAATTATTACTTCTAGTATTGAAAGTAAGAAAAAAAGATTAATAGTACTGACAAGGGAGCGTATATTGATGAAACTTTTGCGGGAGATAGTTCACAGGAAAATATTTCACATGTATTCTTTTTCTCGGCAATTGTTCATAGCGAAATGGTGAAAAAACCCCTTTAATTTGGGGATTAGTAACATATTTTCTGGAATATTTCGAAAATTGAAGGGTCAAGAAGAAAACTTTTCTTATCATCTGTGTTTTCGAATGAGGCAATTTTTTAAATATTATAAGATTCTCTATCTGATTTCATTTCAAAACATAGTAAAGAAAAGTTTTCTCCTAGATCTTATAATTCTCGAGATATTCCAGAAAATATGTTTTCAACCCCTCACTTTGTTAGTTATTTTTTCTTACTTTCAATACCAACGGGAATAATTTACACTCCCGTTCATGAGTATCAGGACACTTATGGAATGTGAAACAAACCTGAACCATCGTTCGAAAATTATTAACATCCTGAAGAAAAATGATTCAGTGAAAATAAGGTCAAACATTCTCACGAAATTGTGTTTGAAAATGAGTTTTGTTGTAGGTCGTTGAATTTATCTCAACAACGCTTTCATATAACGTAAAGGAAACAGCTATCAATTGAAAACAGTTCGTGGTATCGTCGTTACGCGAAAACCGTTGCAAATTTAAGAAATGCATTCAAGTCATCGTGTTGAGTATAAAAAATGATGAAACTTTGCCCTGTTCTGTTTTCCTCGAAAATCTACAATTTATAAGAGAAACGTTGGAAACTAATAGCGCGATGAACATCCTGTATATTTTTACTAACCAGGGCTGCCTTTATACTTTTGGAGGCCCTAAGCACAACGTCATCACGAGGCCTCAAAAGAACAAGTCTATTTCAATTAATCAAATTCACACATATTTATTTTTAAGTTCATTGAAAGTAAATGTCGACATTTCCATAATAACTCGTTCTAATAAATTATCGGTCGGTAGAAATTCCCGTCGATGAACAACGGACCCTCGTAAATTTGGTTTCCCTTTTCACCGGCCTATTGTTTTTATATTATGAATTTAATATTTAAAAATAAGTATTTTAGTTTGCAACTATACCTAGGCTGTTTTTCGTGTTGTTGTTTGCGAGGAGTAAGGTTTTAAAATGTGGCCCCATAGAGGGAGAGCCCCAGCTTGCGCTTAATGCGCCTTACGCTAAATGCGGCCCTGATACTAATTTTGGCGGAGAAATGTAATTTGAATCATGCAATACTTTCTGTACATGTTCGTTATAAGTGAGACACCCTGTATACTAGATGCTCAATTATAGCGAATAATTTCGAATTGGGCATTTATTCTTACGTCAAACGGGTAGGACACGATGCTATCATAGTCTATCGACTGTGTCATGCCATTTCCCACGGTCTCTGTGATGTAACGAGCGGTGAATTCATCAGACAATTCGCATAAACTGTAATTGCTCCAAGGTATGTCCTCAGAATTCGTATACCATTGGCCATTCGAGAGACATTCTTTCGTGGCCATCGTCGTGATGCGAATATTCGACTCGAAAATATTCGTCGAAGTGTCTGTTTCGTATGTCGGATCCGTTTCAGGAGGACAGGGCAAAATGGCTGTGGCGGAGGCTTTGGTGTACGGCCAGCAAAGTAATCCATCGAAATGTGCCGGACAGTGACGAAATTTTTGCACATTCAATGTATCTTGGTACGTTATATTCCGATCTGTTCGTTAAACATTATATATTATATATTGTAGTACATATGTTACAAATAATAGAAATGGCGATTCAACTCTTGCACGGAAATCGGGTCAATTTGAGCCAAATTGAAGTCACGAATTCTTTTTTCCCTGTTACTTAATTGTATAGAATATTTCATATAATTTCAATATAATATTAATATTGTGTTGTACAAGTTTAATAAATTATTACAAAATTAAGCCGTAATAAAAAACTGAATAGTAGGTGTACAAATTAATTTGGTGCCTTTTTTCACAAAGCATAGGCGACTTTGTCGACTAAAATCTGTCATATTTTTTCAAAGAGGGAATTCATCAGTTACCCGATAAATGAAGAAAGATCATCCAAAATAATGGAGACTATTTTGAACATTAAAATTGTGTTTGATTTTTTGTAAATAAATTGTAAGTTTGCGAAAAAAGGCACCGAATTAATTTTAGCACCTAATACAATAATCGAAGGGAAATAAGAAGAACAGGAAGTAACAGAACGTTGAAAGAGAAAGCAGTAAATTGAAAAGAAAGAGTTAAATAACGGGAACAGTAACAATGTAAAATCTGATTCCAAGTTAAATCCGCGGAACGATAACGTTGAAGATGATAATTATAACAAAAAAAAAATAAAAGAAAGAAAGTGGCACTAATAACGAAATAAGCGATAACTGTAATAGACGATAAAATTAAGATGCATAATGGTAGCAATAAGATCACTAAAAGTAACATTATAAAGAAATATAATAGAATGTAATGAAAATATATTTATTGCATTATCAGAAGTAATGTAAATGAATTTTTTAGACAACTTTGGAAGTTGAATAAAATGTTAAGCGTGAAGAACAATACTTGAATTTTGTATAAGGAATTTTTGCTTATCCTTGTGTAAACAATTTCTGATAAAATACACTAATCACTTTGGTACACTTACATTCCGCTATCAAATCGCCGCATATCCGTTTTTGCTCAGTGAAGAATCGCTCGGCGGCCTCCGCTTCCGGTTCCACTTCTGTCACAGACATTTCAACACCGCGTGACACTTGATGAATTATAAAAGCAAATAACGACTTGAAAGATTTATTCAAAAATTCGATGCTCCCTGGCAATGAAATATTGAACGAAACATTTAAAGAATTTCTTCAACGTCACAGAAATAGTGTATCCTTGGAGAATTCAGAAGCTGATGTGAACCTTGTGAAATCTGGAATTGAAGTGACCAACAAGTGGATTCGATGGTTATGGGGATGTTTACAATCCAGCCTCGCCCTCTAATTCTTTACTATAGCCAGACTATAGTCACTTACTTAGAGAAGGGACAGTCTGGAAGTAGAAAAGGTCGACCGAAGGTCAGACAAGAAAATAATTTTAATTCTTATACTTGAAATTTATAACTTAAACATTTTCAGAAATAATTAGGATATATTAGTTTTATTTCAAGGTGAATTTTTCTTTCGCGAAATTCTTTTCCAGTATGTATAGATAAAAATGAAGAGTAAAACCAAGTAATTATTCTTGTAATTAAGTTTCATGTAATTATAAGTCTCTTTGACAACGACACGCTTCTTCAACAAGTAATTACATTTATCAAGAAAGATGGCAGAGTGTCGTCACTTACTTCCAATTGTGTTATAGAATTTATCAGGCAATAAAGCAAATCGGTTGGCCATCGCATGCATCATCCATCAAAAGGTCTAGTCGTTCAAACACACCACTCTCTCTCTCTTCAGGCAATAAAGCAAATCGGTTGGCCATCGCATGCATCATCCATCAAAAGGTCTAGTCGTTCAGTCCCTCTTTCTCTCTTGAGGTTTTCTGCCAATATTGATAGAACCACCAAGGAGTGATCGATCATCAAATTATAATGTACACGATAAAATGCACATATACAGTGAGAGCATTACTTTAGCGATGATCAAAATCCAAATAAAGATTTCACAGAAACGTATATGTATACATTCTATTGAGTGGAAAAGGAAATGGTAATTTCTTCTTTTACCATTGAACGAATAATTTCTTAAATTAGAAATTACAAAAATTACACGACACTGGACGGATAAAATAGAGTGGGGAAAAAAGAACAGAGAGACAGAGGCCATATATTCAAAATTCGTTTTTATGTTAAACTTACATCAACCACACTTTACAACAGATTGTATTTCTTTATGTAGATCAACTCGGGAAATCATCCGCACGCAGTTGAGGTCGCCACATCTTTCTTTTTTTACCTTCTTTAACCCTTTCGCTACGAAGGGCGTATATATATACGTTCTGTAAAAGTGGTCACTCGTTTACGAAAGGCGTGTATACATATACGTCCATCTAATACATACAATTAATTACATTTATTTTTGCACTTCACAAATAAGATATCTGAAATTCAGATAGACTGAAATTCAGCCAACACCAATTTTCAATAATACGTACTTTTATTTTTATATTATATACCTTAATCTGTTAACTGGATTCACCTCTCGAACAGACATTGAATCTCTCTAGTTTATAATTAAAAATTAGTAAGAATTATAATTAATTATATACTTCATATTGGTTCTCGCTAATGTGAATACGATCTATTTTATATTTAATACAAGTAACATTACAAATTAATAATTCCTCAATAAATGAACTATTATGTTCTAATGACGAGTTAATTTGTCTTCTCCAGTTAACAGGATAAAAACTGTTTCGTCCAGTACACAGCGAGCGCTCTTTGTTTTTCAATGCGCCATAGCGAAAGGGTTAACAATACTTTCCAACCGCAAAAACAACATCACGTACAACATTCTAAATCGTTCTTTTGAATTTGTTTTTTTTTTTTTTTTTTTTTTTTGTTTAGAACACAACAAAACGTCACGCGAGACGCAACGAGTACAGCGGATGATTTTTCGCTCTGGATCCTTAGTCGAGCTTAAAAATCACTTCTTTTTTTACAGCCATTGATGTCGGTAAGTGTCAGTAAGTACAGACGATTCGTAATTCTTTTTCCTCCCGTTAATACCACTTCGTTATTAATTAATTAGCTATTCCGTTTCTCGATGCTCGTGTTATTTACAAATTTTCTCGGCTATTTCTTATCGATAGGCCATCTTTTGTATCCTCTACATCTCTCAAACACCGAGGCGAACGCCTCCTCAATACTTTTTTCTAGAATTAATTACAAAAGACACGAAGCGCAGGTTTTTACGAATCCGCGATAATTAGGGTTTCTCCATTGACCTGTTAATTGAGCTCGATTTATAATTAAAGGTCTGAATTAACCTTAAACGTGTAATTAACACGTTTCACGTCACGTGTACCACAACACGACAGTTTTCGGAAATGGCATTTTTGTTAAACGAAAAAAGTTAGTTTTCGACTCATGCAAAATATGTGCAGTGGAAGATTAGAGTGCCAAGAATTCAACCCACGTTTAAATATAATTAAATATTTCAACCCGTGAAGGATCACCAACGAGCGATACCTTCTCGCACGCTTTACCAACGCAGAACACATTTGTTAAATGTCCTAATAAAGGTCAGTCGCAAATTTGAAGTAATAAATATAAAAGAAACGCTTGGTGAAACTTTTAATGTTCCTGTAGCACGGAACACATTAAAGAACAGTAAAAATTTAAACAAGTTTCACTATAACGTAGTACAAATTGTAACTAACAGTGATAAAATTGGAATGATAAAAATGGAGAATGCTGAATAAGAAAATTTTGTCTCCTCAGTTAACAGGTTAAGGAATTCCTTTTGCAAATATTCCAACAAGCTTTCCGTACAATCTTTAATACAAACAAGGGGGAAATTATCGTACAAAGTGTCTTCAGTGTATCTTTGGCTTCGTGGAATATGTATGCGTGTGTATGTGTGTGTGTGTGTGTGTAGTCCAAAGAATAAAATTCCTTGAATGTTTGCTTCCAAGCAATTCGATTATTCCTTCTGTTTCTTTCTTCATTTGGGACGTGTTCTTTTGGCTTTTGGAATTTTCCAGCGAGTTCTATGTAGGACCTAGATCTGGCAGTTTAAAGAGGGAAGCCTACGCGGACTGGCGCCATTCTCGTGCTTCAGTGTGTCGTCTGACAAAAATGGTACTCCCTTCAGATGGAGGAGATAGATGCCTCTCTCTCTCTCTCTCTCTCTCTCTCTCTCTCTCTCTCGCGCGTCGAACACGTCTTTTGTTTCTTTTGCCGCGTGCTTACGGAATGTCTTCGCTAATATTATCATTTCGAACGCCTGTTTTATTCTTGTTTGCATATACATTATTCATTCCCTATTTTTTCCTTTTAACGAACTTTCAAGAACTCCTCTCTTCTCCCGATACATTATCGGAGCTAGAATGTTTACCCAGCGAACAAAATGTGTATGAAAAAGAAAATTTCCATTTAATTTTTGACTACCAAAGAGATTAAAGATTCTACCAAAAACTCTGCCAATTTTTTCTCAGTACAGAATTTATCAGGTAAACTTTCTAGCTTTCAACAGGACAAATGTAAATTTTCATTTCTCCGTTAATTCCTAATTAACTCTCTTTCGTGACCAGCGAGACGCATATTCGAACAAAAATACATCTCAATTGGAATATCCATTACAAATATGATGATGGTTAAAAATGATTCAGTCACGAAAGGTTTAATGTACAAGAGAGGCGTTTAAAATGGTACCATCAGAAGAACCAGACGCAGAACGCGTCCAATATTCGTCCTAAATATCTGTAAACGGACGCTGTAAACGGACCCGACATTCGCCATCGGGAATCATAGGAACGCGCACGGTGTTGTTTCACACATGAAATCGTACAATAACGAGTAGATTTACAATTGGAAAGGCACTTCGAACGAAAAGTATGGCATCGAGCAGTAACAAGGCGTCAGTAGTGTGTGTCCATTGAATTATTGACCTTGTAATTGAACAATCAATTACCTCGTAACTCTGCCTACTTAGTGTTCGTTTCAGAGAACAAACACAACCCCCTGATTTTTCACGTCGTTGTGCCTTTGGTTGACTGGCAGAAATCAAAATGAAACTCTCCCTCTTAAGTAGATCCTCCCTTCTTTCTCACCTGAATTCTTTCAGGAATCTCATCCCCTCCCCTCAAGTATATCTCTCAAGTTGTCTGACGCTTGTCCACGCGACGTCCACGTTCATGTAGAACGATAATATGACGTCGACACGTTCTACAATGATTCTTATGGTTGTTACTACACGTGGAATTAGAAGAATCGTTATCGAGCAGCTGTCGCTATTAAAACGATCGACCAGCCTCTTTCGCTAACGATGTCACTATGTTTTGTTAGTTCAGCGTGTTCTAACGATGATTGAGGACTGGACCATCTCGTGTAACGTCTCCCTATCGAGCAATCGTAGCACCCACGCGTATAATTCCAGTCGAAGGTGATCATGGTTGAGCTAGCGAACGGTCAGAGACATTTGCCTGGATTCTGGGTGCACCACTGCGGCCACATTGCTTCTGTTTTCAATCCTCGGCTAGTTAGAAGTTCCATATGGGCGGCTAGTCTTGTGTACACGCTCTCGTCTGTCGAGTAACCGTTCGTTGGCATGTCGCTCCTGTGCAGAAAATTATTTCTTCGTTATTCCACGTGATTGTAATACAGGATTGAATAATTAGAGGCAAATTTAAACCCGTTTTACGGAATTGGGCCAATTTGATTTAAAATCAAGTCACAAATTAGTTTTTTTTCTTTTTTGCTGTTATTAAATGTATCATTTGGACTGAAACTTTCTCATATACTTAAACATCCAATAAGTTTTTGTATTCCCTTCTTGTAAATATACAGGGTGTCCCATGCAACCGGCTGTATCTCCTAGACGGTTAGAGATAGAAAAAAATGCTGTAAATAGTACCCAATTTAACATAATTTGGAAATAATTTTATGCACTTTCATCCATTGGTACACTTGGAAAATGGACCAGTCGGTACAACTTTTTAATTTCTACAAAAAAAGGACGAACGTACTTATATCCTAAACCTATTAGCTTGAAAGTTATTACAGTTAAAAGTTTGCTAACGTATCGTATTGTAGTCCAACTATCCCATGATAGCTGAAAATACACCGAAATAGTGTAGCAAACTTTTAATTGTAATAACTTCTAAACTAATAGGTTTAGAGCATGAAAATATAAGTACTTTTTGCAGAGATTCAAAAATTACATCGACAGAGGACTAGTCAAAACTATAGGTTTCCATTTAAAAAAGAAAGATGCAATTGCATTTCCCAGGTGTACCAATAAACGAAAGTGCATAAAATTATTTCCAGATTATGTTCGATTGGATAATGTTTACCTTTGACTTAGAGCATTTTTTTCTATTACTAACCGTTTGGAAGGTACAACTTGTTCCAGTTGTGTGGGACACCCTTGTATAATATTTGGGTCAATTTGACCCAAATTTACTTATTTGTGTAACTTTGTAAACTTCGTACAAGGGTTAAAATCTTTGTCTTGTGACAAATAAGCTTTGTGGTACAGATTATAGTTAAGGTGAGACAAAAATAGTTATTTTAACGTATTATCAACCGAATGAATTGCAGTTGAGTTGATGTGTAAGATTGCTAAAAATATTTTGCATTATAATAAATATTGGAAAAATTGGTAAAGAAGCCTGTGTTAGGAAAATGAATAATGTAAAATTGTAGGATGGGACATTATATCTGATAATATTATGGAACAAGATTTCTTAAAATAAAAGTAGTAGGATCTAGCCAATCGGTTGGCAGTGTGTTAAGAACAAAGATTAACTTCAACTTCATTTTGTAAGGCTCTGAACTGTCGAATTTAACTTTTCAAATAATATTCAGTGAAAATCCTTATTAATATATTCTTAAGCAGTGAATACCAATTGGCTAATAAAAGAATCATAAAGCAAGGCGTTAAATACCCTCAACTGTAATATAGCGAAAGTAGAATCACATAATAACCAAGCAGGTAAAGTAAAATACCAGGTTAAAAAATAAAATACAATGTCTTTAATACTCTAATAGTCTTAAAAAACAACTTTATACAATTAAAAAAAAAAAGTTACTGTCAGCTGTGGAAATTAAACCTCGACGATTTTATCAACTCAACACCGCCATATTTTTCCTGAGAGGAAATTCGTCAGCTGCCCGATAAATGAGAAAATGATGGTAACATTCTGTTTGACTTTTCACAAATAAACACTGAAGTTTGTGAAAGAGAGCACAGAAATGAATTTGTAAACCTAGTAATATTCCTCATTATCTCCTCATCCTAAACTATCAAACTTACCATAATCTTTCGGCGAAGGCAGACGCCCTTGGCCATAGTCGAGGCCCCAAGGACGCGTCACCTGTTTGCTCGCTCCAGATAGCCGCTTCTCCTCCCAGAACCAAGCTCAAATGTTGCTGAGGATAATCCCTCCATGGTCTGTGATTGTACACCGTTTGCCAGGTACGATACTCGCCACAAGCTGCTTCACCCGTTTCTCTCCACCTACCGAACCCACAGTCCAGGTACCACGCGTCTACATGCGACAGAATCACCCTGAAACCATCCTCCAGAAGGTCTGGAGTCTCTGGCCAATTGCTACCACCCCAAGATTGTATCACGTGAATCTTAGGATCGAAGTACATGGTGATGTAAGGCCTCTTGGTTAACGGCGAGCTCCAAAGGATCACAGCTTTTGGTACCTCGTTACGATTGGCCTTGACAAGCCTTTGAAGCATCTTCGTTTCGAATTCAGCCCACATAGCATGATGGTCGGTCATGTTTTGAGCTTGCATCGCGGCAGTGATGTTTCCATATTGGGCCCAACAATCGAGGTTCACCTCATCCCCGCCAAGGTGCACGATGTCCCTAATTTCGGTCAGGTCCAACAGTTCACGGTACAGCCCCTCCAATATTCGGTAGGAGTGCTCGTTGATGGGATTCAACTGGCCGCAATTCGGCTCGCCGCAATACGACGACCATGGCTGTTGATCAACGCACAGCGCCAGCTCCCCGTAACCGTACTCCGTCCCTGAGCAGATTAATAAGATCAGTACAGGCGTGGGATATGTGGTTGGTGAGTGAGTATGTGGGTAGGTGTAGGTGTGTGAGGTTGATGAGTTGTGGAGGGTTTAATGGGTTTCTTGAGGGGGGTTTCTTTGGAGTAAGGGAGGTATGTGGGTCATTGGTGAGTTATTGATGGTAAAAGTTTGATTGGGTGAATTGAGGTATTGGTTGATCTATTGTTTGTACGGAAACATGAAAGTGGATAATATGGTGTAATTTTTGGGATTGGTTGGGAAGTTTTGTTAACCCCTTGCTTTGAAAAATTGAGTTACACTTAAGTGTAATTGTAATTTTAATTTTATTTAGATGAATGCAGGTACTGGTTGGTCTAGTGTTTGTAAGGTAAGATGAAAGTGGATGATATAGTGTGATTTATGGAATTGCTTATGAAATTTTATTAACCTCTTGCTTTACAATATTGAGTTACACTTAAGCTCTAGCTCTAATAGTTCAATCAATGTCTGCCATAAAGAAGGGCGCCTATCTGCAACTTCTGTATTCCAAAAACTAGATAGATGTGTATCTACTTTTTTTTGTTTAAATCACAAGATCGAATCAAACCTTTTTAAACTTTCAGTTATAATTTCTACCTCCTTAGACCTTTTACTTGCACAAAACATCCACCAACCACACCTTCTCTACACTTTCAAAACTATACACAAGATCACACACTCTCTCATCTCCTTTGTCCAAGTATCACCACCCAACTACAACCTTTTCAGACCCTCACCTCAGACAAAACACCTAACTACACCTCCTCCAGACATTCACCATCAATCATACACGCTTCTATGTTCCCTGAATCCTCGCTCCAGACAACACACCCCTCTATATTTCCTCCCTTCAACCGTATAATACCAACCAGAATCCCTCGAAACTCACCCCATTGCCAGCCAGCACCGGCATGAGCTGGAGAGTCAATCTCTACGAGCACTCTGATGCCGCGGATCCTCGCGTAATCCGCGAGATCCTTCACGTCATCGGGCGTGTAGATTTGATCTCCGCTATAGGCGCCCCATCTGGCCATTTCCGGGAACTGGGCTGAATCAAAGGGGAAACTCTGCGAGTCTGTCAGATGCCAGTGGAAAGTGTTCAACTTGGACGCGGCCATGCCGTCGATAACACGTTTCAAACGTTCTATGGGGAAGAACTGTCTTCCAGTATCGACCAGCAGTCCCCTGTACGAGAACATAGGCTTGTCCTCGACGGAAGCACGAGACAACACACGCAGTGCACCCTCTCTTCCGGCTGTCTCGTCCCACCAGATCATCTGACCAAGCGTCTCCAAACCGTGTCTGACACCGAAGTAACTTTTTCCCGTTACTCGTGCCTCTAGAATTCTTCCTTTGGGTATTAATTCCAGGGTGTACGACTCGTCTGTGGCTATGTTCGGTCCTACTGGACGCTCAATTCCGGCAGAGAGGTAGATCACAAAACTGTCCACTCCGGATCTGCTCTTTGCGTTTGATACCTTCACTAGGCTCCTGATGTTGCCTGCAACGAGAAATTGTTCTTTTCTGGCTTGGGAAACGATGGTTCAGATTAGAAGATTAAAGGACACTTGGCGAATGCGAAGGAAATGTAAATAGTCGTTACAAAATTGTTAAGAACCAAGACACGTTGTTTAGGCTGAAATCTTGTGATATAAGAAGTAAGTACTTGTGTATATTTTCGCTGACATGTAGTTCTAATTTGAATTTGAATATTTTTAATTTGATCAGTTTAATTTGACAATTGGAGTTTAAATATTTAAATCTGATTGGTTCACTTTGATCATTTGAATTTAATTCGTTCATTTTGATCACTTTGATTTGTATATTTAAATTTGAGTCTGTTCAATTTTATGTCGATAAATTGATTTGTGAAGTAAAACTTCCTTTTTAACTCTCCGACAGTCGTACCTGGGTCAATTTTGACCACATTCTCAAGAGCCTCGCCAAACTCTTCGACACAATTATTCTGTATACATTGTGAAAAGTAAATAGTTTATTTATGCTTTGCTTACATTTCTTTCATACAGGGCGGGTCACGGGAAACAAGCGACCTAATTACAGTCTGTTCCACAAAAGCGTGGACGCGATATTTTCGAAACTTGAGGTCAATTGAGGGAGAGATTGTGTTAGCATAAAAATATGAAGTTCCCTCTGATACGCATTAGCTTTAAATCTCTTGGTATCGTTTTTGTTACTGAGAAATACGGACCTTTTCGAGATGAGTGCCGTGTACGCCACACGTTTCGAGGCAGTCTTCTTGTGTTATCACCCAAAAGGGCGAAAAATGAGTGTTAAAAATGCAGAAAAATATATGCATTAATCTCGTGAATTCGTTAATAAGTAGGTACAACGATATAAAGGAACTGAATGTGTCGATGACCTCCCTGATCGAGATTGGTACTACGAAAAGGGAAGATAAAGTGATCTTCCGGCTATTTCCAAGGAATCCAACATTTTGCTTGCGTAAAGGGCAAGCTTTTTTGGTAAAAAGGGCATAAATATAGGGATTTTGACATTGAAACGTCGCTTGACAGAAAATAATGTTTGATGGAGCAGTACATTATCGAAACCGTTGCTTTCAAGGAAGCACGACGAAAGTCGGCTAGCGTGGGCACACGAAAAAGTTGATCGCGATTGGAGTGGTATATTCAGCGATGAAGCATCTTTTTCGGCTTGAAGTATCAGATGTGCCTGGTCTGTTTATGAAAATCCAATTGTCCAAAGACGCGTTAAACATCCATTCGAGAGACATGGAGGTCTCTATCACTCTCATGTACCAAGAAATTGGTCGAAAGTATACCTAGACGTTGTCAGGCAATAATCGCTAATGGTGGAGATTGGACACGCTGTTAATTGAGCGCGTATTAGTTTATTAGACGTAGTTTCGATGTATATAAAATTTTTTACAGAAAGAACTAATTTTCACAGAGATATCGCGTCCACGCTCTTGTGGAACAGACTGTATCTTCGACGTGGTACGAGCAAAATTTTATACGTAATTTAAACGGTATCAAAGACCGAATAAGATGGAAGAAAATTTTTTTAATGGAAAAAATGGCAAAAATTGAAAGGAAGTGGCAGATTTGATTTAAAATTTTAGAGTCAAGATCATTTTAAGCTCACATTATTATGTACGTTTAAATGCACACGAATGTCTGCTACAACATACAGTAGAAAACAACATATACCTTCGTGTAAAAAAATATAAGCGACCTAAAAAAAAAAGAAGGCATTTATAAACAACATTATTCTTCCATCTTATTCACCCTTTGAAACCATTTACCACTATAGCTAGAAAATATAATTAGGTGGTCTTTTTTACGTGAATCACCTGGTACATTGTTCACTTTTTCTTTGTTCTTGTATTTTGTAATCCAAGATCCAGATTAAATTTTTCAATTGTCCAAACGATTGAAAGAATTCTGCAATTAAACACTTACCCATGAAGATATCCTTAGCATGCTCTAATAAATTCTTCGTTTCCTGATCACTGGTGTTCACAGTGACGAATTCTATCTGTTGCAGATGTATGATGACACTTTCCTCCCCGAGGAACACGTTTCCGGTGGGTCTGGGCCAAAGGAGCCTGGTGTTTCCGCCACAAAGAGCGATGCAGCTGGCCAACGATGTGCGTGACGACCTGACTGCTCTCCTCTCGCATCTTCCGGCGACACAGGCCCAGGACCAAGGGCTCTGGAACGTTCTGCGATCGATAGGGATCGCCAACAAGAGGAAACTTGAGGATTTATTTCGAAAAAGGTACGAATTTTCTTCTATATTTACACATTTCTCCTTCCAAGGATTTTTGAGTTCCTCTGAGTATTTCTTCTTCACGTTTTGTGATACTTTAATGGGCATCAGGAACATATGTATACCTACTGTTGGTCAAAAGTTTGGGACCACTGTGCGTTACAAGGTAGGCAAGAATTTTTTAGAAAGAAGTTAGCAAGCTTAACTTTTTGGTGACTGAATGAGGACTGATGATCATTCGCATTTTTAACCCACTCAAATTTAAATTAATCTATACAGGGTGTTCCAGTTTTCTCCGATCAAATTTGTACGATTGTTATAATTTTTTTAATAAAGCTTCAAACGACCTATGTTTATATAAGATTTTCTTCTTACTTACACCTATAGAACATACTGGCAAAGTTTGATCGGAAAAAACTGGGACAACTTGTATACCAAAACTTTAAGTAACTAAATTCAGTGGAATTTTCTTTCTTTTTCGGGAATATTGGTTCTCAAATGAAAGTCAAGGAAAAATTGCTCAGTGTTCAAGGGGTTAAGGAATATTTAATGAAATTGTTACCGAAGTGAATTACTACTCAGTCCTGTAACATTAATTCTAAATCGATAGAAAATTAATAGCAGATTTAGTATTTGTGTAAAGTGACACTGTGCTCCCACATTTTAGACCAATTGTGCATATAACTTGCTATGGAACATGGCGAGACAAATAAAGAGAACTGGTAGAAGCAGCGTGAGATAAATGGTGGGAGTATACGTACACATTCATGAAAAATGGCAGAACGAATTGCGTGTGTACGAGGAAAACGACACAAAGGTAGGAAAAAGATGGAGAACGAAGAAGGAATAAATTTTACGTAGATGCAAATAGCAAATGTTCCATGTCAATACCTTGTAAATAAAGCTTCTGATAATTTGAGCGTTGAATTATTGAAAAGTGGTGACAAGATTATGAAAGATTGAAAGGAATAGGTACCAAATATGGCGGGTATTCACGAAGCGCTGCCGAGATCAAAGCTGATTGTGAGTGACAAAATTCACATAAGACGCGATCGATTCCATCGGTGCAATGTCCAATTCCAATTTTTATCCTATATTGTACAGTGAAATTAAGATTGCACGAAGAAGATTACAAGAAGTTGGATTTGTGAGACGGAAAGTCTAAATTTCGTCGAAAAAAAATAGAAACCTCTAACATGAAAGATGCCAAAAAAAATTCGAAATCCCTAATTTTTAAGGCGAAAAAGATCGACAGAAGAAATAAAAGATCTCTAAATTACAAAATAAGAGCGAAAATTTCTTACAAAAGAAAAAAAATGTTTAAACCTCTCATTTTCAAGACAAAGTGCCCAAAATGCCTGGAAAGAAATTAATCACTCGGAATTGTAAAATGGGATTAAAATTTTCTTGAAAGAAATTTCGATCTTTTATTTACAATATAAGAGGTTCAAAGCGTATTGGGAAAATTAAAAAAGAGACTTGAAACGATTCTAAGAAAAACTGAAACCAGCATCCAACGTTATAATTAAACAGATAAACGATCCTGATACATTAAAATGATTCTCGAAAGACAGGAAATGGAAGCTGAATGAATAAAAAAAGATCCAGGTAGCGGTGTGTGAAGAAGAAGCGAGAATATGTTACCATCGAACAGATAGAGATCACAACTGAATAAATATTCATGAAACATTGCTCTACTATCGTCAATTAAAGTTCTGAGATATTACAACGAGCCTGGAATGCTGTTTATTCGCGAACGTTAACGACCAATCTTTATTATTCTTGACCAATTTTCACCATTACTTAACTCTACGTTAATCTGTTGAATTTTTATGACACTTTGAAAATTCAGAATTCTTATTTTCACTGCTTCAAAGCCTCGAACCAGTGAAATCTCGTTGATAGATCTGAGGATACCGGGAATTCGAAGTTGATAAGGTCAAATAAATTGTGTCTCTTTGATTTGATGTATTATGGAAATTTGTACAATTGTAAAGAACAGACAGAAAATTTTGAAAGCTCTTACAATTATGAAAGTGAAAGAATGAAAATTATGGCATTAGGTTTGTCAAATATTACAATTGTCAGCGTTAATACGTTTCCTATATCCTAAATTTTCTATTAGGTTGGTGCATATGAAACATCGTTTCTTTTTTTTTTTTTAATGAAAATTTATATACATTGTTTCTTCAAAAAACAAAATAATGTACTTAATCAAAATAATTTTCACACGATTTTATACACTGTTACCAACGATTAACTAACTTCATTATTACGAATTTATAAGAATCATTGGTCATTGAATTAAAAAGTTTTGAAATGTTACTTTTACATTTGGGAATGATTTATTTGTTAAAAAAATTCTTCAGGTGTTTAGAGAAATGGTAGTCTGTTGGGGAAAGATCAAGCGAATAGGGGAAGCTGTGACAAAATTTTACATCGTTTACCGTGGATTGTTTTTAATCATTTTTCTTAAAACGTTATCATCGACATCCCTATCTGACCTTCTCTCCAACGAAAAGTCAGCAATCTTGAATTTCGCACACCAACGTTGAAATGCGTTAACGTGTTAACATTTACATAATTTTCCTCAAATTTATCGCAGTTTCTTCCAAGTTTAAACTCACACAAAACAAATTACGCGAAAATCCCTGTATTCATCACGTCAGATAATAATGTCCAAACAAGTGTATTAAGAATTTCTTTACTATTCGATACACGTGTGCTGCAGCAGATTCTTTCTTCTCGACTGTTGTGTAGAAAAATTCACGATCGGACAAAATATGCGGTATCGATCCGGCAATTTCAGTTGTTGAAAAAACAACAATTCATTTGCACCAACCTAATGGTATAGTCTCTCGTTAGTCGAGAGAGGTGTTAGCTGTGACATTTGTAATACACCGTGGCGATTTTATTCGTGATTCATTAGAATATTATACAGTCTCTACGAAGCGTACAGAGGCTGAGGAACGTCAGGTTCGTTTAATCGTTGTTTCCAGATGCAATTTTCATGATTTTTTTCTCCTTCTTTTCCGATGTACGGATACGTTAACGAGCGTAATTGTTAATTTGTTGGAGTTGCCAGGAAAAGAAAATGTACATTCCGGTTTAATAAGCCGTCGAGGAACGAGCCACGGCAATTACCATGATTTATTGGCGTTTCCTGGTTGGACACGGCGAGAACCTGGCAACGGAACAGCGGGACGAAGTGGAAAAATTTTGTTTGAAAAATGGAGCAGCTTGTGATTTGTGAAAAGAAAACGGTAAAAAAATGAATTTTTAAAAAAAGACACTCACACTGTTTGAAATTCAACCAAAATTTATAATTTAGAAGATTTGCTTTTAATACATGTTCAACGATTCAGCGTTGATATTTTTCTAATTAATTTTTATTAATTAAATATCAAATAAGTTCACCTAAATATTTCTTCACTGAACAGTATAGTTGAACTCACATAAAGTATTTACTGAGATTGGAAAAAAAAATAGATACAGTTGATGAAAGAAGTTGAACGAACCAGATAACTTCAACCTCTACGCTCTACTACTTGCGCTACTTTTATGGTTTACCGCTACTACTTTTTATAGCTTACATTATTACCCACTCACTATTACTAGAACACCATTTACAGTTAAGTATTTCAGAAATTATTCAGCGTTCGCTAGAGTGCCTGAATATGAATAAAAAGATTCTCCCCGGTTATCTGTCCTAACTTAAAACGCTTCACAGCGTTCTTTTATTACCTGAATCAATAAACTCAGCTATTACAAAGTTATCGAAATTATCGTAGACAAACATCTGAACCACCACCGCAGCAATTATTTCGCTATTCCAGTGATCAGCAACTCCCTCAAATTGTTTGTACGATCC